GTAAGTGTATTGACCCGTTTTCATGTAGACATGTTTCGTCAACTTGGTAATTTATGACATGGATAAAGAAAGTTAAAGACCCCACCTCCCCGTAAAGTTCTTGACAACTATGTAAACAAATGAAAAAAATCGATAAATTGCCAGTCTACACATAAACAGAATTGTGTTTGATTCATGTTCAGCCTAACTATACCTACTATATCAGCCTGTCAGTCTACAAAGTAGCATTGCTTTTTATATAATCGATAACTGAAACATTAAATCAGCTCTGTTCTTTGGTTGAATTAAACAGAAATAAATCAGCTCAGTTCTTTAGATTGAATTAAACAGCAATAAATCAACTCAGTTCTTTAGTTGAATTAAACAGAAATAAATGAGCTCAGATCTTTGGTTGTATTAAACAAAAATAAATCAGCTCAGTTCTTTGATTGAATGAAACTGAAATAAATCAGCTCAGTTCTTTGATTGAATTAAATAGCAATAAATCAGCTCAGTTCTTTGGTTGAATTAAACAGAAATTAATCAGCTCAGTTCTTTAGTTGAATAAAACAGAAATAAATCAGCTCAGTTCTTTGGTTGTATTAAACAGAAATAAATCAGCTCCGATCTTTGGTTGTATTAAACAGAAATAAATCAGCTCAGTTCTTTGGTTGTATTAAACAGAAATAAATCAGCTCCGATCTTTGGTTGTATTAAACATAAATAAATCAGCTCAGTTCTTTGGTTGTATTAAACAGAAATAAATCAGTTCAGTTCTTTGGTTAATTAAACAGCAATAAATCAGTTCAGTTTTTTGGTTAATTAAACAACAATAAATCAGTTCAGTTCTTTGATTGTATTAAACAGAAATAAATGAGCTCAGTTCTTTGATTGTATTAAACAGAAATAAATTAGCTCAGTTCTTTGGTTGAATTAAACAGAAATAAATCAGTTCTGTTCTTTGGTTGAATTAAACAGAAATAAATTAGCTCAGTTATTTGGTTGAATTAAACAGAAATAAATTAGCTCAGTTCTTTGATTGTATTAAACAGAAATAAATCAGCTCAGTTCTTTGATTGTATTAAACAGAAATACTTCTGTCTACAATCTTCAAAAAATTCAACCGCATTAGGAGTATTTTAGAAGATATCAATTTGCTTAATTCAAAATGCGCTGTAATTATTATATAATCAATAAAAAAGAAATCGTTTGTACTAAACAGCATTTGATATCTTTCCAAAGTCACTATGACAGAATTAAAGAATCTTGGTAAACCAAGAAAGGAGCTTATCACGCAAACTAGGTGGTATCGTTTCTCCTCTGGAAATCCTACATCGCCGGATAGAGTAAATATTTAAAGTTACTAGTAAAAATTGTATGAATATCGAATATTGTGTATGGAACGCCCCTTGCACGTGCACGAAGCAAAATAATGCTCCCATCATATTAAGTGCATGTGCTAAATAGGAAATTAAGTATAAGTAGGTTTAACAATTACTTTAATGATCTAACTTAATTTTCCCACTTCTCAATTGGGTAGCTGTACTGGTGATAACAATGCTTGAGTCAGTACATTAAAAAAGGTAATGAAAAATGTACTTAATCTAATAATAATAATCGGTAAACCTATCTTCACGACAAGGCTGTAGTAATTTCAACTGTAAAATAGTGTAAAATGTACTTAATCCAATAATAATAATCGGTAAATCTGTCTTCACGACAAGGCTGTAGTAATTTCAACTGTAAAATAGTGTAAAATGTACTTAATCCAATAATAATAATCGGTAAACCTATCTTCACGACAAGGCTGTAGTAATTTCAACTGTAAAATAGTGTAAAATGTACTTAATCCAATAATAATAATCGGTAAACCTATCTTCACGACAAGGCTGTAGTAATTTCAACTGTAAAATAGTGTAAAATGTACTTAATCCAATAATAATAATCGGTAAACCTATTTTCACGACAAGACTGTAGTCATTTCAACTGTAAAATAGTGTAAAATGTACTTAATCCAATAATAATAATCGGTAAACCTATCTTCACGACAAGGCTGTAGTAATTCCAACTGTAAAATAGTGTAAAATGTACTTAATCCAATTATAATAATCGGTAAATCTATCTTCACGACAAGGCTGTAGTAATTTCAACTGTAAAATAGTGTAAAATGTACTTAATCCAATAATAATAATCGGTAAACCTATCTTCACGACAAGGCTGTAGTAATTTCAACTGTAAAATAGTGTAAAATGTACTTAATCCAATAATAATAATCGGTAAACCTATCTTCACGACAAGGCTGTAGTAATTTCAACTGTAAAATAGTGTCAAATGTATTTAATCCAATAATAATAATCGGTAAACCTATCTTCTCGACAAGACAGAAATAATTACAACAATAAACCCAGGCCTAGAAAAAAGATAAAACGCCGTATATTTATTCACTTTTCATTCAAAATTCAAACCAACTACTCTGGATATTATAGTTAATTAAGGAAAAAAGTAGTTTTTATCCTCAACGTAAAAAAATCAAGAGATTTATTTCGTAAACCATTATTGGTACCTTTAAAAATCAGTCTTTGTCTGATTAAATATATAAACATTTACCTTTGAAATATTTAGCTATTGTTTAACCCACACGGCGTTAGGCCTGAATCATCGTATATTAACTTCAAACAAACAGACAATTATTTCCCCACAAAGTAACATACGAAATAAAGTTTCATCATATCAACACATTCGGTAAGATCTTTCTCTTATCGAGTCGAACCAACCCTAGCATGTAACACTCTTGTTTAGAACAAGTAAATCAATGACTTATCGAAACAACAACACCATGTCTGGTACAACGACGTTCCGCTCTGTTACGAAGATATTATACGTCTGCCAACACTTATATATATTAATGCTTTACGGGTATTGATTACGGGGTTGTCATCAGACGGACAACATATTGAACTGTTCAGTACCAGAACTGAAAGAATTATTTTGATACGTTGTTAGCTGTCGTCTACCAGTGCCGTAATAGGTAGAATACACTTATTTTTTTCTTAATTATCGTTGCGTGCAGTCCTTTTTATTCTTTCTCTCTTTCTAACCGATGTGGTTTTCAATTATTTGCACATACTGCAAACGCTTATAACACGTATGATTACTTAGGCCTAAGTATAAACAATAGAAGAAACGCAACAATAGTTTAAACAGTTTTTGTCGTCTTCGTAATTTATAGGCCTGACATATTTTTACAGTTTTTTTTTTTATCACAACCTGTTATCAAACAAACATTGATAAATTACATTATTTTCTTAAACTAAGTAGTTTACTTTTGGTAGAATATCTTTATCTAATCAAACCTACTTTGTTTAAAATAAAAATACGAAACTGTTTTATGTATAATTGATGTACAAAGAAATTAAGCGTTTCAATAATTTAGGCCGTATATCTTTATACACATAATCATGTAAAACCATGCTAAGTTTCTGAAATAAAAAGTCAAATAGCGCACGTGCAGTATTATTCTTTTTTTTTTAATGTCACTACTTTTAATGGTCAACATACTTGTCTACACTTTTACATTTGTTTAAAGTACCTCACACTAAAGGAGCGCAGTAGAGTTTAACATTGCATCACAATAAATAAGTTCAACACACTTTTACAGCACATCACTAAATAAGTTCAACACAGTTTTACAGAACATCACTAAATAAGTTCAACAGTTTTACAGCACATCACACTAATTAAGAAGTATGTTTTTAAATGTTGACGAGCCCAATCCAAAGCACTTCATTGTTTATAGAAACACGTCTTATTATAACAGCTGTAAATTAAATCTAAAGCTTCTTAAGGTTTTAAATTCATAGTAGCTCTGTTCTTATTAAAAGTGATCGACAGAGGGGTCATTAACTTGATCGAATGTCTTTCTTTATCTCATGCTTCTATTGCTCATAGGTCTCTAGTGTCATCTATAAGATTGATCTATTTACTTGATAGCGTTAGAAAGTTCAGGGTGAAGTTAGTTAGTTTGGTAATGAATGACTTGGCTGTTTTTTCTCATGGCTTTATTTACATTCACTACTTAAGATTTCAAAACATTTGTAAGAGCTTTGAAACTTAATATTCTTTCACCGACAGTGAAAAACCACAGTAAATTTAATAATCTCGATATTGGAAAAAAAGTTTAGACACATTCGTGTGTCGTCTTCAGCCTCCCGTTGAACGTGTGTCGAAACTAGTTTCTCCAACATGTCAATACTTCTGATGGTTTGTTTTATTTACTATGGTTATTCACAAACTGTTACACGCCATTCAAGACTTCTGATGGTTTGTTTTATTTACTGTGGTTTTTCACAAACTGTTACACGTCATTCAAGACTTCTGATGGTTTGTACTATTTACTGTGGTTTTTCACAAACTGTTACACGTCATTCAAGACTTCTGATGGTTTGTTCTATTTACTGTGGTTTTTCAACAAACTGTTACACGTCAATCAAGACTTCTGATGGTCTGTTCTATTTACTGTGGTTTTTCACAAACTGTTACACGTCATTCAAGACTTCTGATGGTCTGTTCTATTTACTGTGGTTTTTCACAAACTGTTACATGTCATATTGTGTTCCTGTGTTACTATATTTTACTAATATTTCTAATAATCCGTGGTTTCAAACTGACATTGATGAAACTACACAAACGTTTGGGACGACACTGTAAAGAATGAATTGTTTAGTCACTTGTATCAAAATATAATTTGTTTATGAATTTTTTATGTTGATAAAAATATTTTTGTTATAGTTCATCATTTAGAGTTTAAAGCTAGAACAGTAAAGAGAAATTCATAATTTTTTTCAATTCTTTGACTTTTTTTGGATGTAATAAATATTTTGGCTTATAGCTCACGTTAGCCCAATGTTTTGGACGAATGTTTACATTTTGAACAATAATACTTGATTAAGTTGTGTATTAGTTTAAAATGATCAAAGGTTCATCTGTCTTCCATATTAACCGTGTTTCTTTATATCCAACAGAGGGCTCTAGATTACCATACAACCACAGACAGAAAGTTTATACCAACGGCACCTTGATTATACAAAATGTTGATCGAACCACTGATGAAGGAAGATATGTCTGCCAGGCAAAAGATAAGGAGGGTATGACGGCCGAAAATAGCATTTTCATATCTATTTTAGGTAAGGCTGTAATTATGTTATTTCTGATGTTATCTCTATATGTTTAAATACTACTAATTTAGACATCCATGACAAGAGTGGTCCTATACTTGTATTTTCGACTTTTTATTTAACATTTGTATATAATCTTGTATTGTCAATATACAAGAATAGTTTAAATATGTGATATTTTCACACAAACTCAATGCTCTTAATCCATATGTGGTTAGGACGGTTTACTCGCAATCTGCGGATCGTGGGTTTCTAATCCACGTCACCGAATATTCTTGCCCTTTCAGTCATGAGGGCATTATAATGTGACGGTAAATCCCACTGTTCGTTGGTTAAAGAGTCGCCAAAGAGTTGGCGGTGGGTGGTGTTGACTAGCTGCCTTCCCTCTAGTTTATCACTGCTTAATTAAGGACAGTTACCGTAAAGAGCCCCCTAGTATATTTTCGAGAATTTCAAATCAAACAAACGAACTACATCTGTATAAGACCATGATGCTCTGCAATTAGATAATCATTACATATTCAAGCCATGTGGCCCGACATGGTCAGGTGATTAGGGCGCTCGACTCGCAATCTGCTGGTCGCGAGTTCGTATCCCCGTCCCACCAAACATGCTTGCCCTTTCAGCCGTGGGGGCGTTATTATGTGACGGTCAATCCCACTATTTGTTGGTCAAAGAGTAGCCCAAGATTTGGCAGTAGGTGGTATGACTAGCTGCCTTCCCTCTAGTCTTTCATTGCTAAATTAGGGACAGCTACCGCAGACAGCTCTCGTGTAGCTTTGCGCGGAATTCAAAACAAACCAACCAGAGTTGGTTAGTTACAAAATAGAAATTCACTAACAAAAATCCGGTCGTTTTAAGCATGCATTTAGAAATATGGAGTATTTACAAATCACCATATAATTTTTGTGTTGGTTAACTAACATTCGAAATTAAATAATAATTTCAATCTAACAAAAATAAAATTTAAAGGGACGCGATAAAAACATTTATGACTGACATTACACCTGTAAGAAAGGAGGGTTCCCGAAGTTTACAGCTGCGCGAACTTGGAACATAATCCTAAAAATTATTTATTATTAATGTGTGAACGCTAATTAACATTGATTGCTTCAAAAATGCTCGTTTGTATACAATGGGTGGCGTCTGCAAGTTGAGGATAACGATAATATTGCCACTACTAGTAAGACAAGCCTCTCAAAGTTAGGGATAACAATAATATTGCCACTATTAGTAAGACAAGCCTCTAAAAGTTAGGGATAACAATAATATTGCCACTATTAGTAAGAAAAGCCTCTAAAAGTTAAGGATAACAATAATATTGCCACTATTAGTAAGACAAGCCTCTCAGAGTTAGGGATAACGATAATATTGCCACTATTAGTAAGACAAGCCTCTCAGAGGTAGGGATAACGATAATATTGCCACTACTAGTAGGACTAACCACTGCAAGTTAGTAATAACGATAATATTGCTACTAGTAATATTAAAGGTATGAAAGTTCATGCCCTCCGTGGCTTAGCTGTAAGTCAGCGGGCTTATAACCATAAAAATGTGGTTTCAATACAAGTTCAAGTGGCTCATTGTGTGGTTTTATTTTATATAACAAACAAAAACAAATTAAATGAAGGCTTATTTCTTTTATATAAAAACGATTTCGCAAAAGTTATTTTTAACAATTGCTGTATCATAATTTAATTCTTAGTTTGAATAATTTATATTTAAACTAGATTGATGTCATTACCTGTGTCTAAAAGACATTGTTATCACCAGTGTTTAAACACGATCGTTGTCTTCATCTTTGGTTAAGGTTAAATTCATAGTGATATCCTCACCTTGATTCAAAGATGTTGCTATCATTAGTGTTAAATCTAGATTGATGTCCTCACCTTGATTCAAAAATGTTGCTGTCATTAGTGTTAAATCTAGATTGATATCCTCACCTTGATTCAAAGATGTTGCTGTCATTAGTGTTAAATCTAGAATGATGTCCTCACCTTGATTCAAAGATGTTGCTGTCATTAGTGTTAAATCTAGATTGATATCCTCACTTTTGTTCAAAGATGTTGCTGTCATTAGTGTTAAATCTAGATTGATATCCTCACTTTTGTTCAAAGATGTTGCTCTCATTAGTATTAAATCTACTAGATTGATGTTTTCACCTTGGTTAAAAGATGTTGCTGTCATTAGTGTTAAATCTAGATTGATGTCCTCACTTTTGTTCAAAGATGTTGCTGTCATTAGTGTTAAATCTAGATTGATGTCCTCACCTTGATTCAAAGATGTTGCTGTCATTAGTTTTAAATCTAGATTGATGTCTTCACCTTTGTTCAAAGATGTTGCTCTCATTAGTATTAAATCTACTAGATTGATGTTTTCACCTTGGTTAAAAGATGTTGCTGTCATTAGTGTTAAATCTAGATTGATGTTCTCACTTTTGTTCAAAGATGTTGCTGTCATTAGTGTTAAATCTACTAGATTGATGTCTTCACCTTGGTTCAAAGATGTTGCTGTCATTAATGTTAACCTAATAAGTTGATTTCTTTACGTTGGCCTAAAAATGTTACCATCATCAGCGATTAGAGTACTTTTATGTTCTCATCTTGGCTCTAAGGAGCTTTAGTGAAAATGTGAACAGAGATTGTTTTAGCACGTTAATAAAATACATCACGCAATCGACAGAGCATAGGTTTATGGCTTTAATAATTGACCTCACACGAGATTCGGTGAGAATATGTTGAAAACATTATGGTGTGCATACGTGTCACTAGGTGAGAACTAGCGGCAGATTCTTAGAAATTCTGTCAGTCCGACTCCTGCGCTGTTCCATTAGCCCCTCCAGATAATATAAACTAGAAACAAGCTTATGTTGTTTTCAGACAATTCAACTTAAACTGATTTTTTCTTTCTTGAGTTGAAAGCGTCAGCTTAAGTACACGATAAATTCGAATCTAAAAGTTTCTGTTTTATTAAGTATGATGTGGTGAAATATACTTTGTATGCAAAGTGTAATAGAAATCATTGATTTTAGATGTGAGCCTTAAAAGGTATTATCTCAATTTCATATTGTAAAATCGGGACAGCAGTAAGTTTACCGACTTACAACACTAAAATCTGGGGTTCGATTCCCCGCAGTGGACACAGAAGATAATCCAATGTGGCCTTTGCTCTAAAATAACCAACCAAACAAACAAAATGGGGTATAAGTAACGTAAACGTTGTAGATAGCTTTTCACTATATTATAAAGCAATGTAGTCCTGACTTTGTAATAAAACCTTTTTTTCATATTACCAAAAACTGTATTTGTAAAAAAAAATCCCACAAAATAGTACGCTGTGAATGACTTTGACCAAAGAGAACGAAGGTCATATTTTTGTTAAACTTAAAAAGTCAGGGATTAATGGAATTTGAAAATATATGTGTTAGTTTTGAGTGAAAAACTGCTTTGGAGTGTCACGTGATTTAAAGAACTACAAAATGACCACACGACATGGGCCAGGGTGTACGTACAACTCAAACTCTTTGTCGTCTATATTAATACAGATGTAAATGTCTTATAAGCCTTGCTGTACTGTATGGTTAAAAGATTTTAAAGGATTTCTTCTGATAACTATACAGTAAAATTAGAGTTTCAATGTTTACAGTCATAATTACCTTAACATTTACCGCGAATTACTTCTGTTATCATAATTATAGTTTACAATGAGCTTTTAATTAACTCCTCAGAAATAATATTGGGTTTTATCATGATATTAGTGCTTGGGTGTTTCTGTTTTAATCAATAGATATTACAAACGTTCAGCTGGAGACTTACCATGGATAATCATGGTAGCAGTGTGAGTTGAGGTTCCAGCTGAATTGCTAGCCTGGCAGGTATAGTTTCCATGGTATTCTGGACGAACAGAATCGAACACTAAAGTTGATGAAAAGTCAGTGACACGAAGCACTCTAATTCCTAGGTAGTCAGCGATTTTCTGACCGTCTTTCAGCCATCTGATGTCGACCGGAGGATCTCCCTTTGTAACAACACACATAATGTTGAATCTTTGTCCGAAATGGAGAGAAGGTGGGAAACTGAACGGCTCGATGAAGGGACGAACTACAGAACAATTATAATAGCAAATTTGTTTTATATGAAAATTCCACTAGATTTAGATACAATCGACCGCAGTGTATTCTAGAATCCAAAAATAATAATTCCAGAATTAATACCTACGTATGTGTGTATGCGTGCGAGCGCGTATGTGCACACGTGTATTTTGCTTACTTCCACAGTTCTGGCGATCGAATCTACGTGATTCCGGAACGTTTGTTAAACATGTTTGTGTTGTTGTTGTTGTATTCATCTTATTTTTGAATGTTTATACCCACATTTCGAGCATGGACTAATGGTTATCGTACTGGATTGTGGCTCTGAGAGTCTATCGTTACCGAAACAAAAAATCTTGTTCACTATTTTTGGGCCGTGGATGTGTTATAAGTGTGAAAGTCAAATCCCAAGATTTAAGCAGACAAGTGCAGCCCTAAAGTTCGCAGTAGGTGCGGTTGACTAGTTGGCTTCCCTCTAGTGTATAAGCTCAAAATTAGGAACTGCTGTGCGCAGATAACTCTTGTGGAGCCTCGTGCTGCAAAATTCTAAAACAAACCAACTGGACTTTTCGCTTCTAAAGAAATTCAGTTTTTTTTTCTTTCTGATTGTGTACACTCGTTAAACTTAATGTTTACAATTTGTAGGCCTGGCATAGGCTGGTGTTTAGAGCGCTTTACTAGTACTCTGTGGATCGCGGGTTTGAATCCCGTCATAGAACATGCTTGCCCTTTCAGCAGTGAGAGCGTTATAATGTGAAGGTCAATCTGGCTCACAGACACACCTCCAATGAAAGAATAGACCATTCTAAGCTTTTACTTGTTGTTAAACAAATGTTTAAACAACTCTATTCAATAAGTTCCACTTTTGCTCCTTGATAAAGAGTAACCTAAGAGTTGGCGATGAGTGGTGTTGACTAACTGCCTTGCCTCTAGTACTATCATCTCTAAATTAAGGACGGATAGAGCAAGTGGCCCTGGGGTACCTTTTTTTTGGGGGGGGGGGGTGTAACTTTGAGTGAAAATCCACAAACAAGGAGACAAACAAACTTCACAATTTGTCTTTCAATTGAAAAATACATTTTATATTTAACCAATTCAGTAGCTTGTGAGTCATGTATTTGTTTCTTCCCTTGACGTTAAAAATGTTGAGCTCTTTCAGGCATGAATTATCGTCCAATACCGTGTTCTAATACATATAAACTATCATCCAATACCGTTTTATAATACATATAAATTATCATCCAATACCGTGTTCTAATACATATAAACTATCATCCAATACCGAATTTATATGTATTAGAACACGGTATTGGATGATAGTTTATATGTATTAGAACACGGTATTGGATGATAATTTATATGTATTATAAAAATCATCCAATACCGTGTTCTAATACATATAAATTATCATCCAATACCGTGTGCTTAAAACATATAAACTATCATCCAATACCGTGTTATAATACAAATAATCTTATAGAATTACATTAATTGAATGTGAATATTTATTTTGCTTTTTCCAGTTCCGCCTACTTGGAAGATCGAACCACAGAATATTGCCGTTACCAAAGATGAAGACGCCAAACTTGATTGCCAAGCTGAAGGTTTTCCTGCACCAAACCTACGCTGGACCAAAGCTAAAGGTACGATGTTGTTGTTTTCCGTATCGTGAACATCGGTGATTTAGATACCTATAGAAATGTTTGAAACTAAAGTCATTTATCAGGCAGGTGGCAGCACTGCTTAGGTACGGGTGGCTCCGATTGTTCATCGAAATAATATTTTAATTATCTTCTCAATGGGTCACGAGGGCTATCTGCACTAGTCGTCCCTAATTTAGCACTGAAAGACTAGAGGGAAAACAGCTTGTCATCACCACCCACCGCTAACTCTTGCGCTACTCTTTTACCAACGAATTGCAGGGTTGACAGTCACATTATAACGCCCCCACCCGCTGAAAGAGCGAGCATGTTTGGTGGGACTAGGATTCGAACCCGCGACCCTCAGATTGCAAGTCAAGCGCCCTAACCACCAGGCCATGCCGAGCCCTGTTTGTATTGAAATAATAATCATAATACTTTGACCTGTGTCCTTGGTAAACTTAGCCGTCCCATAGAAGTGACAGTGAACTTAAGTTATTAGAAACAATACATGCAGAAGCGGCTTATAGAAACGTGTTGTACCTTATAGAGACCATTTTGTTCAACGAGTAGCAAAGTTTGGTGTTATCCTTTACAGTTTTCCATCTAGTATCCTTTGGAACGAGGTAACTGTATTGAAAGTCACATATCCTGGAGAAGTAATAGAAAAATGCTTATATTAAACTGTATTAAAACTCCACAAATGATACTTGAGCCAATATTTGTTAACCTAAACATACGGAATAACTGACCTGAGTTTTCTTTGATTGTTCATTAAGGAAGTTAGCTAAGTAGTTAGTAACTTACAAAGTTCTTCTTGCTAACTTAAATAATAAAGAAAATATCCGAGGGTGTGCTCAACTTGTAAATAATAATTTATTTCGGTTCTGTCACACGTTGTGCCACTTACATGAATTTACAGTTAGGTATAGGAAAGTGTCTCGAGAAGGAAGAAATCGTACTGGAACTCTTGAACGGGCAAAATTGGTTTGCTGAAATTATTTAGAAGCACTACAAATGTGTGTTTATGGAATCAGAGCTAATGAAGCCACTACAAATGTGTGTTTATGGAATCTCACGGACTTTTTTTTCACACAGGCACTGAAGCACCGGGGCAATACTCTACCATTAGTAGTAACTCCCGTCTTCATGTTTATAACAACGGAACCCTCGTCATCTACAAGTCAAAGAAAGAGGACGCTGGGTTCTACTTGTGTGAGGCAACCAATGGTGTTGCACCTTCAATCAGCAAGGTTGTCAGACTGGACATAAATGGTCAGAATCAATTATATTACTATAAAAAAATGAGTTTTTCTGATGACTAGATGTAATAACCAACAGATGTTTGAGATTAGACCTTATTATATCTTATCATAAAAAATGTTCAAAACAGTTTTTGTCAGAGACAGACCTAAGTTAGCGATACATTACCACGTTTTTACTATATTTCGAAAGTTTACAAATTTTTATGCCAGTTTTTGCTTTCGAAAACTTAAAGCAATTAACACAGCTTTTTTGTTGTTGTTGTTCTGTAATACAAAATCTTCGTTGTATTCTTTTTGAAAGAAGGAATTTGTGTTGAAGAGGTATCTGTGTCGTTAGTGTAGTTAAAACTGGTAATTAATTCTACCTCGACTGTTGAATAACTAGACTGTTGATATCCTAACCTTTGTTATTGTTTTATTTCACGTTTTTCTTGGTCTGGTGATGAGTATTTCACGAAAGTTTTATTTTACACACTTTCACAAATTCTTCTTATTCCATTTTTTTCGTAGCTTTACAGAATAATAAAGTCTACTATAATTCTAATTTTGAATCATGTATATCAGTCACCAAATCCTTCCTTCGTCGGGTAGATCCTTCATCTGAGGTAAAGAAAAGCAGATTTTCTAAAGTTTCCAGTGCTAACAAATATTTCCATCCACTCTAAAATTAAGAAAAAAACGTTAGGAAAACCACATTTATTTTAATATGACGTTAAATATCAGAATGTATACTTTAATAATTTCGTAAATTGTTTCTGAGGTCTGTATAACGTATACAAGTTTATTGGTCGTAAAAGCTATTATTATGATAAAGTTATAGTTTTATTGAAAAAAATAATGTGAAAAGTAAACCATTCACATTGTATATCGAGGTTTGAACTATTGTTTTCTTCATTTTACACTTTGATATCCTATCCTTTGTTGTAGCTTTATTCATTGTACATTGTTGACATCCTATCCTTTGTTGTTGTAGCTTTATTAATTGTACACTGTTGACATCATATCCTTTGTTGTTGTAGCATTATTAATTGTACAATGTTGACATCATATCCTTTGTTGTAGCTTTATTCATTGTACACTGTTGACATCCTATCCTTTGTTGTTGTAGCTATTATTAATTGTATACTGTTGACATCCTATCCTTTGTTGTTGTAGCTATTATTAATTGTATACTGTTGTCATGCTATCCTTTGTTGTAGCTTTATTCATTGTACACTGTTGACATCCTATCCTTTGTTGTTGTAGCATTATTAATTGTATACTGTTGACATCCTATCTTTTGTTGTTGTAGCTTTATTAATTGTACACTGTTGACATCCTATCCTTTGTTGTTGTAGCTTTATTCATTGTACACTGTTGACATCCTATCCTTTGTTGTTGTAGCTTTATTCATTGTACACTGTTGACATCCTATCCTTTGTTGTTGTAGCTTTATTAATTGTACACTGTTGACATCCTATCCTTTGTTGTAGCTTTCTTGTTTTATTTTGTCATAACTTTAAAATTACAGTAGAACAACTATAAGGAAGTGTGACTTGATATGTAATCTCGGTACTTCCTGGTTATTTCAACACTTATAAATTAAATTTTTTTTATTTGTTTTATACGTGAATCCCAGTTTCTTATTAATATGTATTGAAAATTAAGGGAATAGCTGATGGGTTGAAATATGTCATTTTTTCCCGTAAATTATTGGTAAGTTATTTATGTTCTAATGTTTCTCAACGAACTTACTAGGTCATCAAAACAAACGAATAATTCGATACCTGAAATGAACGGTGTGTAGAAAGAACGGAAATCTAGTCGAAATTCTATTCCCGGAGGCTTATATAGTTACAGTTTGAAGATGAGGTCATATTTTATTTCAAAGACCCTATATATATATATTTAAGATAACTACAAAAATCACGCGGCATGGATGAGTCTCAGAAACGAGATACCACGTCAAGCGTGATGTATTTGTGCACTCTAATGTGATGTTAATCTCTTATGGCTGATGCATATGGAAATTAGGTCTATCTCATTACTATTAGTGTGCTCTTTACTAAATGACCAGCTCTTCCCATTGTATCGATTCATTCATCACGTTGACGATTTAAGTTTAAGATAAATGTAACAACACTAAAGAGGTCAATTTGACGAGCTATAGATGTTTGGATTTTATTTGGTTTATCCATGCCATTTAAAGGTTAAGAAATTATTTAGAGGGAAATCTAAGTGTCGAAAATAGATATTGATACAAAACGTCTTCAAAAAACAAAAACGCAATGTTTTCAATTTGCTTAAATATCGACGAGCCTTGCACTTCATATGAACGATTTTTGTTTTTGTTTGTAATTAAGCACAAAGCTTCACAATGGACTATCTGTGCTCTGCCCACCACGGGTATCGAAACCCGGATTCTAGCGTTGTAAGTCCGCAGACATACCGCTGTGCCACTGGGGGGCCACATGAACGAGAGCGGGTAAAAATAGAGAAACTGTAATATTTATATTGATTTTTTTTTTCCAGAACCACCTCATTTCAGCAACAAGTTCCAAGTGCAAACGATTCGAAAAGGTCTTGAAATTACCTTGAAGTGTGAAGCGGAAGGAGATAATCCAATGACTATCTTGTGGCTAAAGGATAAGCAACGTTTAGACGTTCGAGAATCGAAAAGGCTTGTTCATACAACTAATATCATTTTCAAATTTACACTTAAAGTAGAAGGGCGCTTTTACTGAAATAATAATTCTACTGTTGTTTTCTCTGTATCTTATTTAACATACGCTAAAAATTATTGGGTAATTATCTCAAAAATTAATGGGTAATTATCACAAAAACTAATGGGTAATTATCTCAAAAACTAATGGGTAATTATCTCAAAAATTATTGGGTAATTATCTCAAAAATTATTGGGTAATTATCTCAAAAATTAATGGGTAATTATCTCAAAACTAATGGGTAATTATCTCAAAAATTAATGGGTAATTATCTCAAACTAATGGGTAATTATCTCAAAAATTAATGGGTAATTATCTCAAACTAATGGGTAATTATCTCAAAAATTAATGGGTAATTATCTCAAAACTAATGGTTAATTATCTCAAAAATTAATGGGTAATTATCTCAAAACTAATGGGTAATTATCTCAAAAATTATTGGGTAATTATCTCAAAAATTAATGGGTAATTATCA